AGTGCAGTGGCCGCTTCCGGCCACTGCAGCCTCGACCTGCTGGGCTCTGACGATCCCTCCGCCTAAGCCTTTCAAGGAGCTGGAACTATAGGCGTGCACCACCATGGCCGGCTAAATTTTTTTGATTTATTGCCCAGGCGGGTCTCGAACCCGCAGGCTCAGGCAATTCACTCACCTCAGCCTCCCAAAGTGCTGGGATTACAGGCTGAGCCACCAAGCCTGGCAGATCCATACTCTTTAAGGTCTGTTAACATTGGCACCATCAGCATTCCTTTCAGTATCTCAAATAAAATAAGTCTAAGATAAATTTGAAACTCATTATCTTTTTTATAAAACTGGTTCCTTCTTCCACAAATGCTCCATTTCTCTATTACCTAAAAATCCTAACCTGTTGAACAAAATCCTAAACTTGAGACCAGATTCCCCATCACACCTTCTCAGTGTCCCTCCCCCTTCTTGGGTAATTGATCACCAATTGTTTTCAACGCTTCATCCTGAATTTCTCTTGGACCCACTCACTCCTTTATAATCCTGACGCCTTTGTTCTGGGTCTTTCTACTTCTCTATTGTATCCACTTCTGGAAATTCAACATGTATTAATAGGCTCGGAAAGTTCCTAAATGAAAGAAACTGTTTTGCTTGTTCTCCCCAGTATTTCCAAAACTTTGGGACAACAGAGCCCTTTATTCTCAGTGATTTCACGATACTGATTACAACATGGCACCTCTGGAAAAGGAAGGACTCTAAGATGAAGAACACACTCCCTAGCTGGACACCTAAGGTTTTTCACACGATTACCTCCATAAGCAATTCCCAGTCCGTATCCTACCTGCTCTCCCTTCCTGCACACCGTATCACTCCACCACCTGTAACTGACTAACCATGTGCCTGGTCTTTACTGTCTTCTTGTCCAAGTGCACACACGGGCACCTCTCTGTCTGGAAAGCTACCACCAACCAACTCAAATGCCACCCACAGAGGGGACTCTGGGATGAGCTGGCTGACAAGTAACACCAGCTCCCATCTAAAGATACATAGTTACTATAAAGTACCAAAAGGCCTTTATTACAGAAGACAGGTGGATGGAATTAAAAAGAGCTGCCCTGTCTTCCACTGAGTGATAACTTTGCCATAATCCCATCACCAGTCAGGACCTGTGAGGTCTTCCACATTTTCATAACTCTAGCACTACACTGACCTTATGCATACTGCACATTCCATCCCTACTCCCACCAAGTGGTCCTACTTACCCTGAGATTTCTTCTGTCTTAAGGAGATCCTCCTATTGTGATAATGATAAATGGAAGAGCACAAACCCAAGTGTTCTCTGAGTTAAGACCCAAATAGACAACCATGAATATACCTCATTGCAAGAAACAGACCTTTCCTCATACAGAAAACATACACAGGTACATTTACATTTATACCCCGTGTTAAAACAAAACAAATACTCCACCAATCTAAGGACCATACATTGAACCACAATGCCACTGCCCCTAGAATGAGCAGGTATTTATTTTAGGTTTATACGAATGAAGAATGCATAATTTATGTGGCTCCCCCCAAAAGAATGGACTTTCTAAACATGCTAATAAAATTCGGCAGCCATAAACACATGACAAAGCCTTTGAATAGCCGAGGATTTATATAATAACAGTCCATGTTTATAACACCTTTACCTTATGCCAGTTACTGTGCAAATGCTTTGAATGGATTAAGTCAGTTAAACCTCGTAATAGGTTTATGAGGCACATTCTATTATCACACCTACTTTTATGAATGAGAGAACAGAGGCGGACAGAGGTTCAATTACTCAAGATTCCAGTGCTCATAAACAGGGGTGCCAGGGTGTGAACTTGGGCAGTCTGACTCAAAACCAGCATGGCTTAAGGACCGAACCCTCACCCTGTCCAAGTTTTCAGTGAGTTCAACGATGTCTGGTAGGAGGGGATCTTTCCTCTCCTTGCCAAGCTGTTGCTCACACTTTCTCAAGTGCAAGCTGTTTGTGTCCATTTCCTATTGCTGGAATAGCCACAAATTTCGTGTCTTCAAACAATGCAAATTTATCTTACACACTTCCAGACGTCCAAAAATCATTTTCAGAGGGCTAAAATTAAGAGCTGCATTCCTCTAGGTGACCCTAGAGGACATCCTGTCCCCTGCATTTTCTAGTCTCTAGAGGCTGCCTGCATTCCTTGGCCCGAAGTGCTAGTCACATCTTCTCTGACTGTCCTACTGCCTCTCATAAAGGCTTTTGTGATGATATCAAGTTTGCTCAGACAATCCAATGTAATCTCCCATCTCAAGATGCTCAAACATATCTATAAAGTCCCTTCTGCCATGGAAGGTAACCTATTAGCAGGTTCCTGAGTTTAGGACATGGGCATGTTTGGGGACATCTTTGGGGTCATTGTTCAGACCACCACCAGAGGCTTGCATTCCCCTCTTACTTGGTGTCCGGGACCGAGTGCATGTTCCAGATGAGTGTGGCCTATGCGGCTAACATGCGCTTGGTGACAGAAGCTAGCAGGAGCCCTGTCACACTGACTTGAAACTTCCTCATGCAGGCAACAGAGACTGGGAGAAGAGGCTGGAAAGTGACATGTCTTCCAGGGAGCCAACATTGGTCATCTTGCCAGTACCCACCTGGTTATGTCACCAGTGACCCACACTTCTGAAAATCTTCATCTTTCATATTTTGGCTTAATTCTTTTAAAAACCAAGCTTTAAAAAGTAAGATTTGCCCAGTACAAAGTACTGAGAGCAGCCGGGCTCCATGGCTCAACCGGTAATCCCAGCACTCTGGGAGGCCAAGGTGAGTGGATTGCCTGAGCCTGTGGGTTCGAGATCAACCCGGGCAACTTGACGAAGCCTCATCTCTACAATGAATAAAAAATTAGCCAGGCATGGTAGCGTGTGCCTGTAGTTCCAGCTACTTGGAAGGCAGAGGCGGAAGGATCGCTGGAGCCCAGCAGGTTGACACTGGGGTGGCTGTGAGTGTGCCACTGCACTCCAGCCTGGGTGATGGAGTGAGGCTCCAACTAAAAAAAAAAAAAGTACTGAGAGCAATAGACACTTTAGATTAAGAATCTGAATCATGTTTTATAAAGGAAAGACATAAGGGCATACACAGCAACACAACCTAGTGAGTCTTTCAAAATTATTGCCAAGTAGAAAATTTCTAAAAAAATAATTCATAGTGATTGTGTTACTACTTGAAATTGTCTAATCCTGTGCAAAGGATGTTTCAAAAGAGTTTTATTATAAAGCATTTAAATTTACAGACAAAAATGAAGAATGGTGAACGTCAAAGTTACCCACTACCCTGTTTTCTTCAGGCATGGTTACTTTCTAAAATAAAACATCAGCCATAGAGTTGAAGCCCCTTGGTTCCCCATAATCCGTTTCTCTTTCTCCCTCTTGAATTTGGATTTTTTTTTTTGTTTATCATTCAAAATGGAATTTTCACAATCCTGAAGAATAGTGTTTTTGTAGGTGCTCTAAACATTTCCCTCTAAAATCATGTTACCATCATTTATTGGGCAAAAAGTAAACCATACAGGCAAAAAAGTAATCTTCAGTTCATTACATGAGCAATTTAATGACAATTTCCATTCAGAAATGATTGCAAATATAACTTTGGTGTGGGGATATAAAATGAATTAATTTTACATGATTGGTCAGGGGATCATTTTCCATTGTTTTGTATCCTTAACATGATACCAAACATGATGCTCATGCTGGCCAGACACCTAAGTGTAACTCAATGCCCTTTCCTACCAGCATCAGTGAGATGCTGGGCGGGGAAGAACAGCCTGGATGGATACCACAGCCCCAGTGTCCCATAGTGCCCAGTTTTGGAAGTGTGTGCATGTCTGTGGCACTTGGGCAGCTTAGGGGCTTGGGTAATTATGCCCAACGTTCTGGTCCTGGCCTGTCCTACACAATGTGACTCTCTAACAAAGGCCTGGAAGTATCTCCTTTGAAAAGAGATTTTTTTTTTTTGTTTCAGTATACTCTGACCTGAAGTCAAACTACCTCACCTTCAATAACATCACATGTAAAAAAAAATTACAAATGAGCTCATCTCTCTGCCATTAGAAAGGCACAGAAAAAAGCATTCCTGAGGAATAGAAAGACTAAAACCTTCTCTGCCCACTCTGGCAGGTCATCTTCAAGAGCTGATAGTCATCACGATCACAGTAAGATGGAGTTCCCTTCATGTTTCTGAAAGAGTCACAAGAAACTCACAGAGCTGGCAAATGGCACAGGCTAGTGCCGGTCTGTCTTTGGTCTTACTGGATTTGGAGTATGTAGCCAGGAGTGTCCTTGGGTACACTGTCATGTCACAGCATCTCACAGTGGCACACATACACCATTGAAAGAGGAGATTCTTTTGTTGCGTGAATATGTGAGGATTTCACGTCTGAAGTCCACAGCCTCACATTCTCATTCTGTGACATCAAAGTGACACGGAACCCCAAAATAATAGCTTCAATTGACTCTGGATGTTATAGAAAATTCTGGTTATGTTTCTTAACTCTGAAGTTTTAAAATAAAATGAATGGCCCTTAGCATTCCCAGGGCGGTCTTACTTTTATTAGTATGTGTCTTATTAGCATGCCTGAATCAACTCCTCCATCTTCCATTCATGTCTCTTTTCTTTTTTTTTTTTTTGAGTTTGGAGTCTCACTCTGT